GCCTCCCAGCTTCCCCGGTTCTGGAGTTATTCATTTTCCCGTCAAAAATTTTCACGGGGCCGTACGCGGCAACCACGCATAGTGGGGGCTGAATTTGATAAACTGGAGTTGCAGATGAGTTGAGAACATTTCCTGAAAATTTCAGCCTCCCAGCTTTCCTGGTTACCGAGCTAGCGATTTTCGCGCCAGGAACCCTCAAGGGCCGTACGCGGAAACCACGAACCCCGGCTGAATTTGAAATCTTTAAGTCCTATAGGGGTGGGGAACATAAACTCAAAATTTCAGCTTTCTAGCTTTTCTGGCTCCCGAGTTAGCGGTTTTCCCGCCAAAACTTTAATCCCCTCGTACGCAGGGCCTAGACGTGCTTGAGGGTTGGTACCGCGGTTCTGGGGTGGCACTTGGGTGGGGGAACCACTAGCAAAATTTCGGCGCCGGCACACACACACACACCGGGGTCGTCACAATATGCGTTTTTGCATTTGCATATTATGCAAAAACGCACAATTACTATAAGCTTGTTGCTTCCGAGCAATATTTGGAAAGAAGAGCCATTGAAAGTCCTGCCATCAGTTGATTGATAATGGCACGTGATACCATACGGGCTAATTCCGAGTGCCTCAGGCTTTCATGGATTATATAGGAAAGGGCTTTGCTTTTGAATAACAACGGCCCAACTTGATATCGGTATTTAATCCGACACTTTTATTATGCGTTTTTGCATATACGCGAATTGCAATAACTTATATTGGCAAGAGGCTGCCTGTGTGTTCGCACTTTTTGTTACTCACATTCAACTCGAGAACCTGAAAAGCTAGAAGTCTTAAAAAAATCTGCTAATTTTTTGGCGGGGAAACGATCTCGGAAATCAGACGAGCTAAGGGGCTGAAACTTTACAGAAATATTTCCTGCGCATGTGTGAGCTAAAAATTTCAAAGTCGGCCTCAAGTATGCGTGGGGCTCACGTAAGAGCATATGAAAGTTTTGGCGGAAAAATTACTAACTCGGGAAGCAGAAAAGCTAGAAATCTGAAACTTTGGGGGGATACACTCTATCCAAATACAACATAAATTTCCAGATTCAGCCACCAGGTATGCGCGGTCCTCACGGGTGAGCATGTGAAGGATTTAGCACGAAAATCGTCAACTCGGTAAAACAGGAAAGCTAAAAGGCTGAAATTTTGGGGGATGTTCCCTGTTCACGTACGATTTAAAGATTTCAAATTCGGCTTCGCGAATACGTGAAGTACCCACAGGAGTGTGAAAGTCTTGGCGGGAAAATTACTAACTCAGGAACCAGGAAAGTCGAAAAGCTGAAATTTTAGGGGAATGCCCCCCGTCCAAACACAACTTAAATATTTCATATTCAGTCTTCAGGTATGCATGGTTTTGACGTATGAGCAATTAAAAGTTTTGGCGGGAAAATTACTCACTCAAAAGCTAGGTTACTTTCAAAGAACGACCATCAAATGGAAACTGTTCATTTACTTTATGCAAAATTTATGGTCATTTACACTAGTGAGTGTAAAAGGTTACTCACTGAAAAGCTAGGTTACTTTCAAAGGACGAGCAACAACCATTCATATAGTTAACGACCTGAGTATTTTAAGTGAGCGTCATGAGCAGTGAACTCATTTTCCCACTACATATCCGAGAAATCCTGTAAATTCATTGCAATTTGTGATGTGTAGCCGAATCAATCCAACCAACTGTCCATAGAATGACATAAATCACTAAGGGATTAGGGGCTTTATCCAGAAGTCGTGAATTTGCTTCCTTAACCTGCATTTGAATGGACGTAAAGTAGGCACATACTTAGACATAGAAAAGGCATCATGGTAGCGATATCGACAAATGGAACATCGAGCAGCAGAAGGAAGCCAGTCGCCGAAATAATAGCTGATAATGTGACAAATACGCCGATAATTCCAACCAATGGCTTGGATGAAACCCAATCAACAAAAAGCAACGAAATACCCTTATTCGGGATTGCCATAAACGCTGTGTTGAATGTGCAAATCACTGAGAAGGCCACCAACAATAGGAAGGTAACGACGAACCTGAACTGAACAAATTCTTAACAGTTACACTGCTACAGTCATGGGATGTATACGACGTAGTGAACCAAACATTCCTGTTCGTTTCTTTGTATATATTTTTTATATTTCATTTATACCATCATTTATGTCTGTGTTCCATGGATGCAAATACTTTAATCGCGCCTCGTCTAAAACGTATTAACTGTAAACTCTGGACGTAGAGTCTTGCGCACAAACACGTTACAACCTTGGCGCAATGAGACGACTTCCTCTAGCAAGTTCCTCTTCGAAAGTGTCTGAGTGAAAAATGTACAAATTCAATAGTTCCGCCGGTGTTGTATTTTGTTTAATTCGTTGGCTGAGTGCTGATTCATAGTTCCTGTAATTAGTTCAGCTCCATCACTTCCTCTAATATTCTGGCCCAACTTTGCGAAATGAATGATAGAAGCAGATGAATTCCAAGCTAGAGGCTAGGAGGTGAGACATCTAAGAAATGATTTTAGATTTTTGGCCTTCTGCCCAAACAAAAACATTTTTTTCAAAATTTCAAATTTGCAATTTTAGGCCTGATTCAAGTAAGTCTTATAGCAACTGGTTTTGGACTCATAAGGTTTATCCGAACTTAGGTCTTGAGTTAATGACTTTAGAACAGAGAAGGACCTGAGAGCAGTTCCAAAAGCTCGAATGCAATTTAAATCTTTTTCCGATAGAATTTCTGTCTTTTTTTCACATCAGGAAAGTTCATCATCAAACCAGAGTATTCCAATATTGGTATAGCCGTATTTGTTGGGAAAAAATCCAAGCTGCTCTTTC